GTTTCTGGAGGAAGGGAAGTGCTCACGCTGAGTTGAGTGATGAATAATGGTTATGAAGTAGTGTTAGTATAATCATATTTGAATTATATGGACACGTTTTTATAATTATCACCAACACAGTTAGTGCTAAGTAGATTTTCAACAGTCTTGATTTACTGATAGGAAAAAGTCTAGCTTCAACACGGAGGCAGTGAAAAGTGGAGATAATGAATGATTATAATATTGTACATTCATCAGTTACTTGTACACTGTTTGTTAATTGGGAATGTTGGATAATATCAACAGCTTTTGTGCGACAGTTCCTAATAAGTCACGTAGAGAAGAAGTCTGTCAGAAGCAATATGTCAACATAAACACAGCTTATTTGATTACGTTGATTAAATTGTAAGATAAGCACATTGTTACTGAATGAAAAGCCAACTATGCTGACCCTCTGCACATTCAATTCAGCTTTTCTAGCCGATCTGTCAATAACACATCCATGATCATTTCATAAGTAAATAATGTGAACACGTATTGTTAGCTCCAGCAGGTTAACTCCATTACAGGGGGTCCGCGGGGTCTTAAAAAGTATTACAAGTTGATCAATCAATTTAGCGAAAATGAAGGCTATTAAAAAGTATTAAACTGCATTTTCCAAGGTATTACATTTTGTAGCTTGTTTTCAATAAGTATATAAATGGTCCAAAGAGGTTGTATTCTACAGTGTGCCTGAATGTAATCATTGCGTAGGTGTGTAGTGTGATTCTGTGTAGTTTATTTATGGCATCCCGTTGGGTTTGACGTCATCTGAACAGGACATCGCACGCTCACTGCTTGATAGCGCGCGAAGGTCCGTTTACGCCGGTTGTTAAACAACATGGTTATGGGGAAATGCAAGTCTGCGTCCAAATGGTTGGAAGATAAGGAGGAAGGACAATCAATACTGTATATAGTCAATGTGAGGTAAAGTGTGTCGCCAAGGTAACCGGTTAAAACTCAAAGTGGCGATGAGGTCTTAAAATGTATGGAAAGGGTCTTAGAAAAGGTCTTCAAAGGTCTTACATGTGACTTCAGGATTACTGAAATATAGACCCTGCATTAATACAGATAGTGTTTGTACATGTCCGCACATCACTAACAGCTAATTAAGTGGCTTTTTAAATAGAATAGATGTTGTTATTTACTTGCGTATTATTAATAGGTGCAGGGACACTTTACCACAGATGGGATTACCTGAGAGAGAAACCTGATCGTCGATTCAAACCGTCTGTGATTCAGTTTGAAAAGATGGTGGGTGTAACTGGTTGACCCTGTCTGCTCTCACTGTGTGTGTGTGTGTGTGTGTGTGTGTGTGTGTGTGTGTGTGTGTGTGTGTGTGTGTGTGTGTGTGTGTGTGTGTGTGTGTGTGTGTGTGTGTGTGTTGTGTGTGTGTGTGTGTGTGTGGTGTGTGTGTGTGTGTGTGTGTGTGTGTGTGTGTGTGTGTGTGTGTGTGTGTGTGTGCGTGAGAGTCAGTAGGACCAGTAGCAGACTGTGCTTCCTTATCAGGTGTACAATAGGACATTGATATCCTGAACACATTTACTCGTAAAAAAAACCCTCGTAAAACAAAATCCAGTTCGCCTTCTTTCCTGTCGCTTCATGTTCCCTCCATCCCTTCATTTCTCCCTCCCCCAAGAGACCTCACTTCCCTTTGCACTGAGTCACGTACACACACTTCCTGTTCTTCTTCTACACTCTGCATGACGTGGCTCAGTGTTTCTGTTTGGACCGCAGCCATGTGTTGTGACTGAGGGCCGCGTGGAGCTGCTTTTCAGCCGATATGAAGCCAAGTGGGACTCTTCAGGGTCACTTCATTTTAAAGAGTTCTTGAAGGTGTTGCATGAGTTTCTATGTCAGGTTGAGAGCATCTGGATGAACCCTGACAAGATTTCAGCAATGAACATGAGGGTCAGAGGGGGTTAAAAAGCATTCTTTCATAGCCCTACTTATAGACATTTCACCCTAGTCTTGGGTGTCTTGAGGGGTATTGGGGGTCTTTTAGAAGTTCTTGAAGAGTTTTTCACTTATGAGGGTCTTAAGTTTATTTGAAGACATTTCAGCAATGAACATGAGGGTCAGAGGGGGTTCCTGAAGAGGTTTAAAGATGTTCTTGTACGAGTCTTCTTTGCTTTCTTAAGGGTTTTTAGAGCGGTTTGAGGTTCATTTAAGGGGGTTATAGAAGTCTCTAGGGGGGGGGGTTCTTCCATCCATGGGTTTTTATATTCTTAAGAAGTTCTTGAAGAGGTTTTCACAGTAATGAACAGGTGTTATGGAGTTTCAGGTTTCTTTGGAGGTGTTTCAGTAATGAACATAAGGCTCAGAGGGGTTCCTAATGAGTCGTTTTTTCAGGGGTTATTGAGACCCTATTCTTGGGTTTATAGGAGGTTGTTAGCTTCCTCATGTGCCTGTAAAAGAGATTTGGCTAATTGATTGTTTTTTGGGTTCTTAAGAGGTTCCTGAAGAGGTTAGAGGGGTTCCTGAAGAGGTTTGAAAGCGTTCTTTCAGGGGTTCTTGAGGGTAACAGACCCTTCACCCTACAATTGTGTTTCCTTGAGGATTTTTTTGGGGCTGTTGTTTGGTCGTTCAGGGGTTTTAAGGTTCTTAAGAAGTTCTTGCAAAGGTTTTCACAGAAATAATCAGGGTTTATGGAGCTTCAGGTTGGATTTCAGCAATTCCTTGGGGTTCAAAAATGTCCTTTCAGAGCCGGATATGATTCTGTAAGTTTCTAAAGGGGTTGAAGGGGAATAAGAGGATATTTTCTGGATTTGTTTGGTGGCTTGAAAAGGACCTTGATGGAGCTCAGGGGAGTTTAAGGGGGTTAAAGGCATTCTTTAAGGGATTTACTCGGTTTAACAAGGGCATTCCTTTGTCCTAAGGAGGTTTACAGTGGTTTCTCAATCAAAAACATGTCTAATATTCTCTATAATCCCACATTTAAATCTGTGAATGAATGAAAACGTGTGGCCCAGTAGTAAAGCAGTGCTCTGAAATGGTCTCTGTGACATTTTACCCTGAAATGCTCATTGGATTGTCTCTCAAATCACGTCCTTTCCTCAGAAACCGTATGAATGATTTAGGCGATCTTTCAGACAGAATTAAACCCAGAAAACAAAGATGTGCCGCCGTGACTAAAGAGTCCCCAGACCAAACAGAGCAGCTCATTTCACTGATTATCACATCCTCGACTGACGAAGGGGAACTAATCATCCGCAGACATCTTGGGTCCCGGTTACACTTTGTTGTGAGCCACAGGGAGGAGATGTGCTGGATAAACATCAGCAGGAGAGGACTCTTTAAAGTAGAGACACTACATACTGATGTACACCTGAACATCAGCAGGAGAGGACTCTTTAAAGTAGAGACACTACATACTGATATACACCTGAACATCAGCAGGATAGGACTCTTTAAAGTAGAGACACTACATACTGATATACACCTGAACATCAGCAGGATAGGACTCTTTAAAGTAGAGACACTACATACTGATATACACCTGAACATCAGCAGGAGAGGACTCTTTAAAGTAGAGACACTACATACTGATATACACCTGAACATCAGCAGGAGAGGACTCTTTAAAGTAGAGACACTACATACTGATATACACCTGAACATCAGCAGGAGAGGGACTCTTTAAAGTAGAGACACTACATACTGATATACACCTGAACATGAACATCAGCAGGAGAGGACTCTTTAAAGTAGAGACACTACATACTGATATACACCTGAACATCAGCAGGAGAGGACTCTTTAAAGTAGAGACACTACATACTGATATACACCTGAACGTCAGTAGGAGAGGACTCTTTAAAGTAGAGACACTACATACTGATATACACCTGAACATCAGCAGGAGAGGACTCTTTAAAGTAGAGACACTACATACTGATATACACCTGAACATCAGCAGGAGAAGGACTCTTTAAAGTAGAGACACTACATACTGATATACACCTGAACATCAGCAGGAGAGGACTCTTTAAAGTAGAGACACTATATACTGATATACACCTGAACATCAGCAGGAGAGGACTCTTTAAAGTAGAGACACTACATACTGATTAACACCTGAACATCAACAGGAGAGGACTCTTTAAAGTAGAGACACTACATACTGATATACACCTGAACATCAGCAGGAGAGGACTCTTTAAAGTAGAGACACTACATACTTCTAGATAGGTGCTGCCGGTGTACTTGATCCGTTTAATCCTGCATTGTGTCGGGTGCTTTTGCCTCTCTTGGTTTCAGTGTCGACCCTCCTGTGATGAGGAGCTGTTGAGAGCTCCAACAGTGTGATCATTTACAGTATACGCCACATGATGGAGGCTGTTATCCAAAGTGCATCACGGTATTTGTGCACATATTTTAGAAAGAGAGGCCCGATGGGGAATAAACCTCCTAATTCTAACAATGTCTGGGCGATGAACTTCACAGGAAACATGAAATCTCAGAAGTCTCATCGAGGGGACGATGTTATGTCCCATGTGATGTGTTTCATACAGCAGTGGTTCCAGAGAAAACATCCATTCCTTTGTGATCTCATAAGAGAGCCTGTTTCTCACCGAGGGTCTTAGAAAAACCACACGCAGTACAGTGACTCATGCACTTCTGTCGCATACCGAAAAAAGACAAACCGCCTGGGAATTTGTTGTCTGCTTTAATCTCAGTGTTTGATATCAATTCCTTGGAAAAAAATCTAATACTGAAAAAAAAAATCTCATTCTGGGGAAAAAAGTCAGAATATAAAAAAAATGACAGAATTATTTATTTGTATAAGTCAAATTATTAGAAACATTTCATAAATCTAAGTATAACATGAATAAAACCTGATTACTTTCAGTCTCTGTTAATCTTGTTACATGAAATCCATTACTCCCCATCCTGTCTGACCGCCTGGGAATTTGTTTTCTGCTTTAATCTCAATGTTTGACTAACGTGACCTTTTCCCTTCTCTCTTTTTCCATCTTCAGTATGGGGAGGAGGAGGTGTGTTCGGACCGTTTGGACAATGACTTCCCGGACATCGACCTCTCGCAGCTGGACACGAGCGACTTCGACAGCGTCAACTGTCTCAGCGAACTGCAGTGGTGCAACGACCAACCATCGGACAGATCACCGGCCTCCATCAACTACAGCACCACGGACGAGCTGTTTGAGGTGAGGCTTTGTGACACAACGCTCAGTTATAGGACTGATGTTGAAGCAATAGACCACTAGATATCCATACTGATATCCACCTGAACATCAGCAGGAGAGGACTCTTTAAAGTAGAGACACTACATACTGATATACACCTGAACATCAGCAGGAGAGGACTCTTTAAAGTAGAGACACTACATACTGATACTACAAAATATGTATATGAGTCTGAACATGAGCAGAATATGGCCCCTTTAAGTAAAGTACAGTTCATAAGCAAATGTACTTTCCCAGAAAGACACATTGAAATACAAAGAATGAAATGGACTAACTTATATCGCACATTGAATCTGGGCCTGGGATCAATGGGTTCAACAGCCAAAGTTTCCTCTACCGCTGACAGGTATCCGATCTCTCTGCTGAAATGTGAAATTCGCAGCATGTCTCACGGGTTGCTGCCAAAGTATTCACAGTTACGCTATGTGAAACATGAGGATGGAAGCAGTCCATTAGCTCGGATCGGTCGTTGCTTCTATACACGGCCAATAAAAGCCCCCGAGGCTCCGGTATCAGGTGCATGAATTCAGGGAATCCCTCCTGCTGCGTCTCCATCTGAAACCCTGGACCATTGATTGTCTTTAAGGTTTCCAGGTCCCATTACGGAGGCTAAATTGAGTGCATCTCCAGAATAAAAAAACAACAAAGTGGCGTTTAGGTGCAGATCATTGTGTGTGTGTGACGCTGCAATGCACCGCAGAGTGTTCGTTAAATGAAAGACATGATGGGAATACAGGTGGAATAAACACACACTGTCTCCGTCTGAGATCTTTTTAATTCTTATTTCCGTCCCCATTAGCCGGCGTCCGACTGGTTTCCTGCTGTCGACACGAAACTTAAAACACAGTCGGGACAAAGTACTTCATGAACTGTGATAGTTCTTTGTTTTGAAGACTTACTCTTATGGAGGAATGAGCACCGACACGATGCTTCATAATTTAGATCTGGAGACAAAAGAGAAGACATAATATAGGAGCATATCTTCTTTTATCAAACACGTCTCGAAGGCTGTTATCTTGTGGATCTTTCTTTTGATTCTCCCTTCTTAACTTTCCTTATTGAATCTTTTCCCGTCTTTAGTCTTACCCTCTCATCTCCCTTTCTGTCTTCATCTTTGTTTCTCCTGCCCATGCATTTTCTGTTTTAATTGCTTTTCTGTGGTTATTCTGCAACTTTGGTATTGCCGGTTTTTAAGTGATAACAAAAGGTTTCTTTCTTGCTGTTTTACGGAAGAGGAGAAGGGCCAGATTTGGAACTTTAGAAAAAAACATCTGAGCAAATGTGTTGTTTTTTGTTGTTCTGAGATTACATTTAGAAAACTGAGAAACTGGTGAAATTTAGTGGAAAAAAATATTGTGAAAAAAATCACATTCTATGAAAAAAAGTCTAATTCTGAGGAAAAAAATTCAATTCTAAGAAAAAAGTCAAATTCTTGGGGAAAATCTCATTCTTAGGAAAAACTTCTAATGCTGTGAAAAAAGTCACATTTTGGATTAAAAAAAGTCACATTTGGGGAATTTCCTGGAAAACAAATCAATTATTGGTAAAAAATCCAATTCGGGGGAAAAATATCAAATACTGGGGAAACAGTCATAAATCTAAGTAAACGGTCAGAATACAAAATGTAATGTAATCTGATTACCTTTCGTTGCTGTTTATCTTGTTTCATGAAATCCACTACTCCCCATCCTGTCTATCAGTCTCTGTCTGTACGCTCTCCAAGGTTAAATGAAGCCCTGACACACACACACACACACACACACACACACACACACACACACACACACACACACACACACACACACACACACACACACACACACACACACACACACACACACACACACACACACACACACCACACACACACACACCGGATCAATAATCGCCCGTCACGGGATTAGTTTCCGATGCTAAGGGATACAGCTCGGGGGCTTTTCATGCTATTCATTAATGTTTTCATAACCAAAGCCCAGCCGAGCGTCTCATCGATACTAAAATATAATCTGCCGGAGGTGAGGAAAAGGGCAGTTATATACAGTCAGGTCACATGACTTTTATATTCTCAGATTAGATTACATTCTTTATAACTACAAACTGTAATGATATCTATTTTTTAAGTAACCCTCCTTCTATCTGACAGTATTCCCAAGTAGTAGTAGGAAGAATAACCAATGCTACAAACAGGGAACACAGGGATTATAGCCTTTGCAGACCATTGACATGCACTATATTGTGATACTCAGATTATATTACATTCTTTATAACTAAAAACTGTAATGAAATCTACTTTTTAAGTAACCCCCGTTATGCATCTTTCTCTCTGATAGTATTCCCAACTAGTAGGAAGAATAGCCGATGCTAATGCTAATTGGTATTCTTAAAAACAAACTATCCCTTGCTACGTAACACAGGGATTTTAGCTTTTGCAGACCATTTACATGCACACAAAACTATATAACTAAAAACTGTAATGAAATCTATTTTCTAAGTAACCCTCCTTCTCTCTGACAGTATTCCCAAGTAGTAGGAAGAATAGCCAATGCTACAAACAGGGAACACAGGGATTTTAGCCTTTGCAGACCATTTACATGCACACAAACCTATAGAACACACTACACTGAGGCTCATACATTACTTTTATAATGTGATATTCAGATTAGATTAGATTTTCTATAACTAAAAACTGTAATGAAATACATTTTTTAAGTAACCATCCTTCTATCTTTCAGTATTCCAAACTAGTAGGAAGAATAGCCAATGCTAATGGGTATTCTTAAAAACAAACTCTCCCTTGCGACGTAACACAGGGATTTGAACCTTTGCAGACCATTTACATGCACACAAAACCTGGAACACACTACAGGAAAGGAACAAACCCCTAAAAAGAATAATAGAGCCTTTTAAAACCAATCAGACGATGGATTTAAATCCTATACGGGGAGAAGTGAGGCAATAACTAAACCTTATTTAACCCAAAAACACTTATCAGGAAAAGCACAAGTTCAACCCCCAACTTTGATTAAACTTGTGCATGACTTTTCTTGTTTTTGACGAGTCTAAATTGCAGCATCGGGTGAAGGGAAAGAGAGTCAGAGAGCCAGAGAAATAATGAAAGGATAAATATTGTGTCGGGAACAGATAGAGGTTGATGATAAAAGAGAGACAGATGAATGCAGTCGTGATATCACCTCTGCAGCAGACTGCCTCTCAGCAAGATAAACACCCACAGAGGCATCATGGCTGGAATTAAAGATTGTATTTTTCTGCATCTGCAAATTGAGACCATGACATGCAGCTTGTGCAACATCATGAGAAACTAAGATACAGTAGAGGCAGGTTGTGCCGACTGACGGGTACATCATCAAACTGTCAATGAGTTCAAAGGATCAGCATGTAAACTCATAACAGATAGGAGAGGGGGAATGGACTTTAGACAACAGCTGATTACTGGAGGTAAAGGGGATTCATAGAGAGATTCTTGAGTGACAAGAGTTGTTCAGTGATGACGTGTCTTTGTAGGCCGACCCCCGGAAGTTAGCATCACAATGGTTCGCTCCAAAAACAGCCAATGGGATTCCTGCATGTGATTTTGGATTATAGCAGAAAATAAAAGTCACATTTTAAAAAGTGAAATAATGAGATACATTTAAATTCTGTAAAAAAAAATCTAATTCTGGGAAAAAAGTCAGAAATGTCAAAAAAGTGAAATTATGGAGGGAAAAGTGGAATTCTCGAAACAAAAATGTAACTGTAAAAAAAATGAAATTCTCAGGAAAAAAGGCAAATTCTGTTAAAAAGATCTAATTCTAAGAAAAAACTCAAACGATATGTAGCACATCCCTCCGAAAGATGGTCGTACTCTTGACTGATCATTTCAAATGTATTGAAAACTCCAAAAACCAACGTAAGAGCTACACAAAGACACAAAACAACAAATGCCGTTAAGCTTCATCCATATTAGCATTACTTTAGCATACCATTAAACAAGTGAACTCCAAAGCTAAATTACGCTTACAACATGTATACAATTGCAATGAAAGTAACAAAAACAATGCCATATCCTTTTCAGGTTCAAAGAACACAAATTGGGTTATTTACACGATATATTCTTTAAAAGCTCTCTCTCTCTCTGTTTCCTGCAGGAGGAAAACGCCGCTCTGCTCGCCGCTCTGACGGACAGCTTGGATGGGATGGTGGATGCAGAAGTGGGCGGGCTCTCCGTCTTCCCCGTCCTGGGGGAGGAGCCTAACCAGGAAGAGGAAGACGAGGACAATCTCTCTCTGAGCGCCGAAGACTTCAGCCAATCACTGGGGTCCGAGACAGAGGACCCATCTCTGGTAAGGACAACTTCCTGGTTCCTCTTTATTTCACCTTTGTATTATTGGAGTGGGAGGGAATCTGGAAGCACGGTCACATGACTTCACGTCACCACCGCTAAGCTAAAGGTGGCTAATGTTGGGCTATAAAGGAACTACAGCACGGTCACATGACTTCACGTCGCTAAGCTAAAGGTGGCTAATGTTGGGCTATAAAGGAACTACAGCACGGTCACATGACTTCACGCCACCACCGCTAAGCTAAAGGTGGCTAATGTTGGTCGGATGATGTTTACTCATAGTTTAAAATGTGAAAATCTCTTCAGAAAAAACACGTTACAAACGTAGACACCAGGGAACAATAAGTGGTTAAATGCTGACTCATTTCCAGGTTTAAGGACTCATTCCTGCACCTTTCTCTGCAGATAACATGAAGTGTAACGCTCACTTATTCTAATTTCCCCTGACCTCTCTTTAGCCGCCACCATTTGAACATTTACCCCCTACTTTCAAAAGCTTGATATTCCTCCCCTTCATGTTTTCCTGTCAGAAGTTCTCAAATCAAAAAGTATCTCGTGGATCAAAACTCTCCGCCTGTTGAATCTTTTCATAAAAGCTTCAAACTCCAACCTTTTCCCATGATCCCCCTCTCTCTTTTCTCCCCGTATCTTAATCTGTGTCGCGTTTGCTAACCTTGATGTTCCCCTTGTTGGCCTGCGAGGTTCAAAGTCTGCGTCTAAACTCCAGGAAAACAAGAGGCACGCTGTGACCTTTCATCCAGTGTGTGTGAGAGTGTGTGTGTGTTATTTCTGTATTTCTTAGCACCACGTGTCCTTCCAGGAATAGAGAGAGAGTCCACACGGCAAATTCTCATGCAGAGTTCGTGCAGGATGTAAATGTGTGCAGTGATTAGGATTATAATTGTATTTAATTAAAGGTCACTCCTGGATTTCCACTCATTTTTCATGTAGATCTGAGCGTAGGCTTAATGTCATAATGGTGGCATGTTCCCAGGTCTTTGGTGGAATATTCACTTTTTTCGTCCACCTGCTGACATGGATAGTGAATGTTTAGACGTTACCAGCCACTTAATATATAACCTTTTATTTTTTTTGGGCTAGTGAAGGATGGAAATCTTTAGCCACTTGCAGGAAGTTGGTGATTATTGATAGAAACTACGATAATAAGACTGAAAAAGGACTCTTTAAAGTAGAGACACTACACACTGATATACACCTGGACATCAGCAGGAGAGGACTCTTTAAAGTAGAGACACTACATACTGATATACACCTGGACATCAGCAGGAGAGGACTCTTTAAAGTAGAGACACTACATACTGATATACACCTGGACATCAGCAGGAGAGGACTCTTTAAAGTAGAGACACTACATACTGATATACACCTGAACATCAGCTGGAGAGGACTCTTTAAAGTAGAGACACTACATACTGATATACACCTGAACATCAGCAGGAGAGGACTCTTTAAAGTAGAGACACTACATACTGATATACACCTGAACATCAGCAGGAGAGGACTCTTTAAAATAGAGACACTACATACTGATATACACCTGAACATCAGCAGGAGAGGACTCTTTAAAGTAGAGACACTACATACTGATATACACCTGAACATCAGCAGGAGAGGACTCTTTAAAGTAGAGACACTACATACTGATATACACCTGAACATCAGCAGGAGAGGACTCTTTAAAGTAGAGACACCACATACTGATATACACCTGAACATCAGCAGGAGAGGACTCTTTAAAGTAGAGACACTACATACTGATATACACCTGAACATCAGCAGGAGAGGACTCTTTAAAGTAGAGACACTACATACTGATATCCACCTGAACATCAGCAGGAGAGAACTCTTTAAAGTAGAGACACTACATACTGATATACACCTGAACATCAGCAGGAGAGGACTCTTTAAAGTTGAGACACTGTTTAGTACTCTGAACATGTATGTTCTCTCAGCTGGTTTATGTGTTTGCTTGTATTCAGCCCTCCCCCCTCTCTCTCTTTTCACACAGTGCTGCTGGATGCCTCTCTCTCTCTCTCTCTCTCTCTCTCTCTCTCTCTCTCTCTCTCTCTCTCTCTCTCTCTCTCTCTCTCTCTCTCTCTTTAGGCCCCTCCATCTTTCCCTGAATCAGATTTCTAGGAACTGACCTTGTTGTTCTCCCCTCTCTCTGTTATGAACCCTCTCTGCACCTGACACAACCCCCCCGAAAAAAACATGAAACCCAGAGTTGGAAGAACTAGATGTTCTGTAAAAGTCCTGCATTCAACATACTTACTTCAGTAAAAGTACACAAGTATTGGCATCAAAATATCCTTAAAGTACCAACATATGTAGAGTAACTAAAGTAAGGTGAGGTGCAGTAGAAGTAGAAGTGTAATGGGGTACATACCCAGTACAAATACCTCCAACAATACAACACTTGAGTAAAGGTTAAAGCTCCACCTCTGGTCAAGATAAATGTAGGGCAGTTCAAAGTACAATATTTCCCTCCAAAATGTTGTGTTGGAGAAGTATTAAGTAGCAGTAAATACACAAGTAAAGTATGTCAAAAAGTACAATACTGTAGTAAAAGTACTTCATCCTTCCTGCCTCTCATCATGAAGCACCGTTAGTGTTCGTGTTGCCCTACTTTCCTCGGCTTCAGCCTGAAAGCTCTGCAGCTTCAGGAAGAGTTTCTCTGCAGTGAAAGCTCCTCTGATCGCTGCTGCTTGTCGTCACGATGAATCCAGAGCACTTCCTTGATTTGAGTTCAACTCCTCAGCTCAAGCTTCCAGGGTCTTTCTGCTGCGCTGAGATTTAGCATCGGATCACAAAGGAGCGATTGTTTTGCAGTCATGCCGCTCGGCTGAATACCGAAACGTTCAGAGAGCCTTTCTATTTGTAATTACACACCGCACTATAAAACACTCAGAGGACGGCTGTGAAGCTTTTCAATGAGAGGAAGGGTGTGTAGCAACAGGGAACAACAGGGACTAAGAAACCTTCAGATCCATTACACAACAGGCAGTTAAATGAGGTTATATTACATAAAAAGAGCATTTCATCAATCCAAGTTAAAGAATTAGGACGTGTCAGGGTGTTTCTGGACAAGTCTATTCGTCTGGTCCATCGTTTGAGTCCAGACATACTTAAACATTGGATACATTGCTGGAATTATTGGAAAAATCACAATAAGTTATTGGATGCTTTGCCATTCAATTTGGTCATTCAAGGCAGGCTTATTGATACAGCACTGTGTGTGTGGTGTGTGTGTGTGTGTGTGTGTGTGTGTGTGTGTGTGGTGTTGTGTGGTGTGTGTGTGTGTGTGTGTGTTTGTGTGTGTGTGTGTGATGTGTGTTGTGTGTGTTGTGTTGTGTGGTGTGTGTGTGGTGTGTGTTTGTGTGTGTGTGTTTGTTTGTGTGTGTTGTGTGTTGGGTGTGTGTGTGTTGTGTGTGTGTGTGTGTGTGTACAGTCTTACTTATTAGGATGTAAAAACAGACATATTGCATTTAAAGATTTTATAAATGATACCTTAACTGGAAAATTATTGATAAAAGACACTGGTGTTTAGAAAAAGGCGCGACGTGGACTTTTCCTAGAGGAAGGAGACCAGAGGAAGTGGACCAGAGGAAGGGGCCATTCCAGTCAAATTGGTGGAAATGAAAATGACTTTAATGACTTTCAGAGCTCCATTACCGGGGATAAGAGCAGGTTGGCCAGTAAAGGAAGCCAGAAAGATGCCAAAGCTGGCTCCTGATATCTGTGAGCGTGTGGATGCTGCTTACAACAACATACAATCATGTTACAAAAGGCCAGCAGGTAGTGAGTGTTTCTCAATGTCGAGGACGCTTCCTTGGTAGCACATGTCTTCCGAGTCAGGTCCTTCAGAAGCGAGGCAAGAATCCTTCCTAGCCTCGGAAAACGAAGAATGGTGGAACAGGCTAACAGGCTAACAGGCTAACAGGTGTGCGTCATATGCGAGGCCCCGCCTTAAATGAAGCGTGATTTCCGCCAAAGATTTGGAAATTGGTCCGTGCGCAAAGCATTGTGGGGATTTTAAGACCGCGGAGTCTACACATGTGCAGCCTCGAAATTTCCCGCTACGAAGTACGCCGGCCTCGGTAGAATTCCAAGTATGCTGGACATTGGAACAGTCCTTCGGCGGGACTCGATGACGTAGCATGCTTGAAATAGTGGCTCTGGAGCATCCTTCCTCGACATTGAGAAACACCCACTGAGAGGTCAAACCAGCAGATTCCATCATCTTATAATCAGTTGGTCACATGACGGTGGTCACATGACTGCTCTGCCCTCGACTCACCTTGCCTGGTTCTGCTGGTTATCAGTCAGAATCAGAGTAAACTGGTTAATCGGTTACGGCTGTCGGTTTCCCTCCAAACTCTGAAGGTCAGAGGAGGAAGAGAGGCCGGTTAGTGGAGAGGAACCTGATGAAATGCAGCGTAAGTTCGACGTGTTGAAACCACTTCATCATGCTGACCTCATCCGTCAGAGCGTGGAGGGTTTCTGACACGACACGGTGACTTTGAGTGTTAGAAAGCATCCTCCGTGCACGAAGAGAGAGAAACATGGAGGTTATAATAATGCATTTTGTTTATAGAGCGCTTTTCTAGAAACTCAAAGACATTTCAAAGAGTGAAAAATCATCAAAACACAATTAGAACAACACACTTAAAATATATAAAACACGACGTTAGAGTAATTGGAGACTGCAGACCTCTGCTGTTTCTATTATATTATAAGTAATGGTTTCTAATTCAATTCAATGTAGAATAATAAATGTATTTGACCTTTGACTTCATCCGTGGTACAGATTCCAGCTTTAAGCAGTTTCTTTCTACTGAGAAGGTTTCCAAAGACATCTAAAGTTTCATTGCCATTCCCACACTGTAGCTTTGTGCACATGACAATAAAACCTTTGAATCTTTTGAATCTTAAGTTTCACAAACGTTGGGTCTGGTTTTTCTGCAACCCTGATGACAAACT